TAACAATTTATTATTAAAACTTTCAGTCTCTAAAGCTCCAATTCTGGCCAATAAAATCCTGTTCAACTATGGAAACTTTCAGATAAATACTGAAGCACTTAGGCAGTGATTCTGATGCGACTGCTGGTGTTGTGGTTCAGAGGGCAGGTTTTGGGCCAGAGCATGGGGTCTGCAGCTCTGCTCAGCCTTTTGCCACTTACAGAAGCTTGGTCATCTTCTCTAGCCTCTTGGTGCCTTGGCTTCCTCATCTGTAAAACTGGTGCTAATAATATACTTAAAGCACTTGAAACAGAGTATGGCAGATGGTTAGTGCTCAATAAATGCTGGCTGTTTGCTTCTTAAAGGAGAATTTTTTTTTTTTCAAAGTACTAACCAGTTATCTGTCTTATGTGAGGAATAAACACCTTGTTTCCTAATCCGTCCTCTATAGGTTTTACACATGTTGTTCCCTCCACCTGTACCCGGACAAGGTAACGTTCTGTGATCAATGGCCAGACTAAAGCCACAAAGATCATTTAGACTGCATTTTACTTTTTTTTTTTTTTTTAAGTTTTTTAGCATTATGAAAACTTTTAAATATAAAGAAATAAAAAAACTTCCAGTGAACACATATATACATACTACCTAGATTCTATCATTAACACTTAACATATGTTTTATCACATCTCTAGTTCTCTGTCCTTCTGTTTTTTATTTTTTTTTAAATTTTTTACATGAAGAAGTTCTTTAGTGGTGATTTCTGAGATTTTGGTGCACCCTTCACCTGAGCAGTGTACACTGTACCCAATGTGTAGTCTTTTATCCCTAACCCCCCTCCTACCCTTTCCCCAGAGTTCACAAAGTCTATCGTGTCACTCCTATGCCTTTGCATCCTTATAGCTTAACTCCAGCTTATGAGTGAGAACATATGATGTTTGGTTTTCCATTCCTGAGTTTCTTCACTTAGAATAATTGTCTCCAATTCCATCCAGGTTGCTGCGAAAGCCATTATTTCATTCCTTTACATGGCTGAGTAGTATTCCATGGCGCATATCTATCTATCTATCTATCTATCTATCTATCTATCTATCTATCTATCTATCTATCTCACATTTTCTTTATCCACTCATTGATTGATGCGGATTTGGGCTGGTTCCATATTAATACAATTGCAAATTGTGCTGTTAAAAACATGAGTGTGCAAGTGTCTTTTTCGTATGACTTCTTTTCCTCTGGCATTTTACTTTTTGTAAATTATAGCACTAACCCTCCTAGTTAATAACACAAGCATTCACTTAACTATACTATCTTTTGTCCACTGATTTTCAATGTTTGCAATTAGAATTTGAACTCTCAAAAAGAAATAAACCAAATGACAAGTAAGTTCCAGGAATTTAAGAGGAAGAGGGAAGCTAGAGCTGAAATTTATGTATAAGACTTATCTGCAACATATGGACTTTATTTGAATCTCAATTTGAACAATTTGTAAAACAATATTTATGAGTCAATAGGGGAAATCTGAATCCAATTGCAAATGAATATTTGATGATGTTAAAGGAATATTAATTTGTTAGATGATAATTCCTTTAGAGTTCCCTTTTTTACATTTGAAAATGTTATGAGGTCAGGAATTTGCTTCAAAATAATCTAGGGTAAAGATGAAAATTGGAAAGGAATGTGTTAAAATAAGATCAAACTTTTGTTGATAGTTGTTGAAGCTGGTGGAGGGTACATAAGGGTTCCTTACAATAGTCTACTTCTATGTATGTTGGAAATTTTTCTAAAATAAAAAGTTTAAAAGAAATACAAAATTTTATAATACTCACAAGAAGAAATATAACAATGCCTTAAAATCACATCTCACATTCACAGTACTTTTTTCTGAGAAGATGCAGACATTTGATACTCATTACCTATGCCAGGTGGGATGAAGGCAGCAAGAACTGTTAGCAGTTCCAAGATGAAAAAAAAAAAATAGAAGGAAGTAAAAGGGTCAGGGCTGCAGAGTCACCATCAACTGCAGAGACAAGAGTCAAGCCCAGTCTTCAGATCTGTGCATCCTAAGGCCTCTTCATGCAGGGACGGTGAACTGCCCTGTGTTCCCAGCAGTTTGAACCAAACTGACTCATTACAAGGTTTTGAACACTTCCTAAAAGAAAACAATCACTGTGTGGCCTGAGGCCTCAGAAACATCAAGAAGATAAATCTGAGGCTGTTCCAAACATCTAGTAAGCATATATTGTGATTCTTATTCTTTGGCCAATTACCTTCATGGTGATCTGAGTTTGAGAGGTGAGAGCCATAGATAACCCAACGCAGTGAGGAGAAGCAGTGGGAAGGGATTGACTTGATTTCTCCTAGGATCATTACAGATCAGGTGGGATATTGAAGGTGTGTGTGTGTGTGTGTGTGTGTGTGTTTGTGTGTTTGTGTGTTTATGTGGTGGAGGGGGTAGAGAGAGAGAAGGAGGAAAAGGGATGGGGAGGAGGGTGACAAAAGGGGAGAGTGAAGGCAGAAGTGAGAGAGGGAAAAGCGGAGGGAGAGACCCAGGGGAAGTAGGCAGGCATGGCAGCCCAGCCACATTACAGACCAGAAAAACTACACAGCTCCTGGCTTGAACCATTTTGGCAGACCCTGTACCCGGGTTATTATCTTACTTTTGCTAAGGATATAGGAATAAAATAAGGGGCACTCTGAAGATCAATACCTATTTAGAATGTTTGAGAAAATTGGAAAATGTTTATAATGAGATGATATTTAGAGACAAGCTAATATTAATCCCAAATTACTACAATCCTATGATAATGTAATTTGAGCATTAGTGGCAAAGGGGAGTTTGTATTCCACAAAAACTTTAGCTTAACAGCTGACCAGGCACAGTGGCTCATGCCTATAATCCCAGCACTTTGGGAGGCCGGGGCGGGGGAATCACTTGAGGCCAGGAGTTCAAGACCAGCCCGGCCAACATGGTGAAACCCTGTCTCTACTAAAAATACAAAAATTAGCTGGGCGTGGTGGCGGATGTCTGTAATCTCAGATACTCAGGAGGCTGAGGCACAAGAATCACTTGAACCCAGGAGGTGGAGGTTGCAGTGGGCCGAGAATGTGCCACTGAGCTCCAGCCTGGGTGACAGAGAAAGACTCTGTCTCAAACAAAAACAAAAACAAACAAACAAACAAAACTTTAGTTTAACAGAAATGAGCAAAAGAATAACTTCAGTTCTTCCTTTTACATTCCATATAGTTTATAAAGCATATTAAAGAGATCACGTATTATATAGACAATATTATAAAGATTTTATAAACTAAACTACCCATAAACCAGACACACTTCGACATATAAACAAGTATCTCTAAATAATCGTCCACATTTCTAAAGTGTAACTTGGATCAGTTTTTCATGCCCTTTACTTCCCTTTTTAGTAGTGCTGATTTGTAAAGAGGCAAAGTTCTTTTAACACACTGATTCATTTCCTCTAATAGTGTAGAAAGTAGATTTTAAAACTGTATTACCACTGTTATTTCCACACCTCATAAATTTTGTCCCTGGTGCACAAAAACACCACTTTCTAAATTCTATGGTCATAGTCCACTGTCAAGAAATAAAAAGTACACTTACTAGTAGATAATGACTAAGATATAACTTAATTCAACAAAGATTTTATGACTGTAACTGCATTAAAAATAAACTTCACACATATTCCCTAGAAAAAGAAAACTACCAGAAAAGAATTACTCCAAGATTATTTTCTGTTTATAAAACAACAGGCCAGGCACAGTGGCTCACACCTGTAATCCCAGCACTTTGGGAGGCCGAAGTGGGTGGATCATCTGAGGTCAGGAGTTCGAGACCAGCCTGGCCAACATGGTGAAACCTGTCTCTACTAAAAATACAAAAATTAGCTGGGCAAGCTACTCGGGAGGCTGAGGCAGGAGAATCACTTGAACCCCAGAGGCAGAGGTTGCAGTGAGCTGAGACCACACCACTGCACTCTAGCCTGCGCAACAAAGCAAGACTCCGGCTCAAAAAAAAATATATATATATGTGTGTGTGTGTGTGTATATATATACACTTACATATGTGTGTGTGCGCGCGTGCACGCACGCACGTGTGTGTGTATATATATGTGAATGCATATACGTGTGTGTATATATGTGTGTGTATACATATGTATGTATACATATGCGAGTGTGTATATATAAGACTCGGTATTGCCTAAAATTGTGACTGTTTATTGAAAAGTATTTTTTTTAAAGCATGGTGCAGTTGGGTCATTATGTGTGATTTGTGTGATTCAATTCGAATTCGCAATTTAACTGTGAAATTTTTAATCTAAAAGATGGCAAGTTTTGTGCTTAACTTTAAAACAAATATTAAAAATTTTAGACAAAAAAGTTTTAATAAGAGTTGAGACTTTAGAGTAACAACCAAAACATACACTGTATGTCTTTTCCTAAATACTAAAAGAGAAAAGAGAACCAAAAGAGAACTGTAATAGGTAAGACTCAGAGAACTGAGAAAGAAAAAGAAATATGTGAAAATTGGTTTCATCTCACAGCTCTGAAACTTTAATGGGAAGGTTTCTAAGTATTTAATTGTCTCTTTAAACCATTTGATCCAGATAGGATAAGAATAACAGAATGGTTTACTAAAAATCTGAAAGATACAGCATGCTGACTGTGATAAGCAAACTTCTCCAGAGAATCTGTATTTTCTTCATGTTACCAATACAAAATAATTAAAACAAATAACAGACTTGATATCCATGCCATACTTCAATTTAATATCGATTATTCTGATTCTATAGCCCTTCTGAATTTTTCAAAGAATGTTGCATTCATCATCCCTCACAGAAACATCCAAAGAACAGGAAGCTTAGAAACTCAGAGTTCTACTGGTGAGAAAATTGGGGCTGATAGAGTAAAAAGTATACAAGATCATATATCTTAAATCTTGCCAAGCACAAATATGCACCATTCTAACAGTAAGACATTGAAACACTATCTCCACGTGCAGGTACCTGATTGGCCGGTTCTCTTTACTGTCAAAGAGTGAGAAGATGACCTCCAGCTCCTCTCCCAGGTTGGAACACATGAGGCTCTTCATCTGGACAAAGAGGTGGTGACTGCTGGCCTGCACCGGGGTGTCCTTCTTCCGATGTCGATGTTCCATCTGAATGACACCCCCCAACAAAAACATGATCAGCATGGATTGAAGGAAATAATAGGACCCAACAAACTAGTTAGCTATGGGATAACTGTGATGTCCTATGCCATACTTTTTATTTTGCTGTGGATTTGGTATCTAAATCCACAGCAAAATATACAGTCTATGTCTTTTGGACTATAGACATAGAAATAGTCCGGAAGACATCCAATTTAACTTTGGATGTTAAATTCCAAATTTTCTTCCAACTTCTAAAATAAGAAACCGTGAAGTTTATAGATTATCAAGGAACCTTGCTTGAAGAATTTTTAAAATCATTAATATGAAAATAACAACTCACTGAGTAGATTCAGGAAGCAGGAAGTTCAAAGGATTCTTTTGCTCCCTTATCAACTCCCAAGATGAGAACAAATTATTAGTCATCTTTTTAAAAAACAGACTAAATTATATCTAAGTTATAACTTCTCATTACTCATAATTAAAAGTTCTTTTAGGTGATACTAAATTGTAAAGTTGTGGTAGTTGTCTGAGACAGGCTGTGGCAAATCATAGTTTCTAACTTGCTGTAGAGCTATAGGGAGAGACCTAGGAAAGCCAGTAAGGTGTCTAAAGCTAAGAATAGCATCTGTGTCCACCTTGAGTCCCTTCCTCAATACAGCCAGTGCAGGTTCAACTTGGGTAACAAGACAAGATGTGAGTTCCCACAGGTTGAGGGAGAAAAAGAATCATTCACAAGTCGAGGAAGGAGGATAACATGGGGATGATCATTCATCAAACATACATTCAAGTATCTGCTAGGTACCAAACCCTGGGAACACAATGAGAAGCAAAAACAGAAACAGTTCACACCTTCACAGAGCATCTATCTACTAAGGGAAGCAGACATGAACAAAATTGTCACACATACACGTGTAAAACTGCAACTATGACGAACGAAGCAAAGACCCAGATTATTATTATTATTATTGAGGCAGTATCTTTCTCTGCTGCCTAGGCTGGACTGCAGTGGCATGATCTCAACTCACTGCAGCCTCTACCTCCCAGGCTCAAGAGATCCTCCCGCCTCGGCCTCCAGAGTAGCTGGGACTACAGGCATGTGTTACCACACCCAGCTAATTTTTATTATTTTTTTGTAGAGACAAGGTTTCACCATGTTGCCCAGGCTGGTCTTGAACTCCTGGATTTAAGCGATCCTCCTGCCTCAGTCTGCCCAAGTGCTGAGATTACAGGTGTGAGCTACTGTGCCTGGCCTAAAGATCCAGATTATGATGAGAGTATAAAAGTGGGGATTTGACATGAGACTGGGCAGGCGTCCTGGGAAAATGGCACTTTAGCTGAGAGTTGAGGAGGGTGCAGGATTTACCTATCTAGGTTAGAGCTCCTCAAACTGCTTGCAGTGAGGGACCAGGTTGTTTCTCCCTTTAACTTGCTGCAGACTGATTCTTTCATGAATACAATAAAAATGCCATGGCAATGTCAAATGCCATAAAGGTTTCTAATCATTTACTTGTCATTTGTATAGTTGGACCAACAGTTCACGGTCCAGCCATTTCTTGGACCACACTTCGAGTAATACTGACTCAGGATAAGAGTACGGGAAAAACATGTGGCTAGGCTTGTGTATTAATAGAACAGGTGCTAAGAACATGAAAGATTATCACTTTCATAGCACAGACTAATTTTTAAAAACTAACTCTTTTGGATCACTTTGACAATTAAAAAAATAGTTCAGGGATTTCAATTTCATTGTAACAGAGCCACAGCCTTTGTTGAAGGATAAATGACCCCATGTCTACATTAGCCATCTTTTTACGCCTTTGAGTTCAAAAACTACTGAATGACCAAATTTTGAAGCCAAAATGTCATGTAAATTTACAAGTGTTAACGCAACATAAAATCACTAGAATTTTTTCATGCTTAAAAGTTAAAACTTTTATTTTGAACTACTTGAGAAGCAAAGGGTAGAAAAAATTCAGCTAAATTCATCTATAATCACTGTATACTCAACAGGTACACCGGGAATCTCTTCGTAAAAGTGGGGAGTAAGTAAGTCATTTTTAAAAGTAGACCTAAGCATTGAGGCATGTGTGGGATATAATTACTAAACACAGGTTCCTGAAGAAAAATATTCTAACTGTAGGAAAGAAGAACAATTTTGGCTTGTTTTCTATAAAGGTTGCTCTACTTTGTGCTTTAACAATTTTTTTTTTCAACTGTGGCAAAAGTGGCATCATATGTTCATAAAAATACATCTCTAACTCACAAGGCATTCTCATCCCCCCTCCACCCCACCAGAATTGCTACCGTATTTACTGATTTACTTAAAAGAAAAACATGTTTACTTAAAAGGGTAACAGAGCACAAGCTACTATGAAGAATTGAATGACTACTAAAGGCCAGAGCTACAGAAACAGATGTAAAAACCTTATGAAAAGAATAGACCTTAAGGAGATATCCGCTCTTAACCTCAAACAGTGCAAAGTTCCCTGCATCAGTCATGACGTTCCCTAAGAATTAAGGAGAAAAAATTAGCTCCTTTACTCGTGCAACGAATCCAATATATCTAGATCAGTGGTTCTCAACCTTGGCTGCACTTTAGAGTCCCCAAGAGAGCTTTTAAAAAATACTTATGCCCAGGTCTTATCTCAGAACAATTAAATTAGAATTTCTAGGGGCTGGAGGGGTCCAGAGACTGGTAGTTTTAAAAGCTCCCCAGGTGATTCTAATGGGCAATGAGGGTTGAGAATCACTGATCCGGATCATGTGCAGACAGATGCAAATCGCAGCAAACTAAACAATGTATTGTTGCGTCTTTCGAGTAATGATGGCCTTGGAACTTTTGTTCTTTGAATGCATGCTAGTAATAAGCCTGCCTGACTCTGCCCTTTGCACATTTAACATGGGCCCTCACATCCAGCACACTCCAGCACTGAAAATACCCCTCTTCCCATCCCCACTATTCTTTCAGGTCTAGGACCCATTTGGACTTAGTAGGTTATGATTACTTTCTTTTCTCTTGGTAATTCAGTACTTTGGCAAACTGCTAAAAAAATCTCTGTGAAAGTATTATTACAATAAAATTAAAAAGTCAGGTTCACACTTCAAGAGCTTGAGTTCATTTGTGGCTACAAATGCACCTACCAGTTACTCTAACTGTGCTTAACAGTCGAACTATCTCTTTGATTAGGGGAAGAAACAGATTCATCTCAAAGATTTACTTAACTGACTCAAATTTTTAATCTTCAAATAATGCATTAATTATTGAATGAACTGTCTACATCAGGGTTTATCAAACTCAGGACTACTGACAACTAGGCTGAATATTTCCTTGTTATAGGGGTTGTCCTGGGCTTTGTAGGACATCTAGCAGCTTTTCCTAGCCTCTACCTACCAGATGCCTATAGTATCTCTCCTTCCCATCTCCTGTTGTGACAACCAAAAATGTCTCCAGACAATGCCAAATATCCCCTTGGGTTGAAATTGCATGTGAGAACCACTGTGTTCCATCTGAGATCTGCTAGTCTCACCTTCTAAGGATTGCAGAGTAAGCAGATGCATGATCTTACAAAACCAAGAAAGGTTTCCAAAAAGATAGAAACCTGCAGGCACAAATAGGAGAGAAGCTGGCTAATAAGGTTCCCTTTATTTATAGAAGGATTGAAATCTTGCCTTTGGCACTAAACCAAAATATCTAAGTGGACATATGCTAACACTGTGAGGTTTAGCACTTTTCCTGCTTACATGAACACAATTAGGTGAGAAAGATCTGCTAACAGGGCTATCAAGAACCTAAAGTGAGACTTTTTTTTCTAATGATGCAATACGAATTTGGTAAGATGCAAAGACTTGTGTTTCAAACATGACACTGACTAGGAAGAAGTAAAAGAAGAAAAGCAGCAACAATTAATCAAATGTCCTCTGTGTTGGGCCATTTAACCGACCCAAAGTGACAATGAATTGCCAAACAACAAGGGATTGGTGATGGTGCCTCCCAACCCTCCCTGGTGAAATCAATAGTCACTTTCATGTTGAACAGAGAAAAACACCAGGGCTACAGAGAATCTTATTATTGCTAGGCCAGGATAAAACAGAAACTTGAAAAAGAAACTCCCTTATGGATACTAGGCTTAATACCTGGGTGACGGGTTGATCTGTGCAGCAAACCACCATGGCACACATTTACCTATGTAACAAACCTGCATAACCCGCACATGTACCCTAGAACCTGAAATAAAAGTTGAAGAGAAAAAAAAGGAAGAAAAAGAAACTGTCTTAAAGAAAAGCACACGCTCTTCTGAAGCTGACAATTATTTGAGTTGTTCTTGGGCTACTTTCTTTGTTTTGGAAATAATCAAGTGCAACCAGCACTGAGGAGAAAATAAGTTTTCATGTCAAATCACGTTTTATTTTCTTCATCTGTAAAATGAAGGCTTTGAACTAGGATCTCAGCTGTAACATACTAAAATATCCCCTGCTGTCTTTCCCACCAAAGGCCAACATTGCTAATCAATGAGACCCTAGATGAGACCCTGGAATCTTATCAACACTGCACTCTAGGCAGCCACCACTAATAAACTGGAATGCCGAAAGAGGTGAAATCAATTTGCCATCCCATATAGAATGTTACATGAAAAGAACAGAGACAAAATTACATATGCACAAAATCAAACTCAGGAAAATAAAATATATTTGCATCAGACATCAGTTATTCATCCAATACCTGACATACTCAACTAAATACAGGGGTGTGCCTAAGCTCTGCCAATGAAATGTAAGTGCAAGTGTTGTGTGGAACTTCCAGAAAGGTTCATTAAAGTATTTGAATCAACTGAGAGAAACCTGTCTCCTTCCTACTGCCTGGAATGCAAATATGATGGCTAGAACTCTTGCAGCTATACTGCACTTAGAGGTGTTCTTGGTAACGGAAGCCAAGTTCAGTGTAGAAAGATAAGGCTGTAGATTCCTTTTCACACCATAAAACAACAACCAAACCCAGAAATTCCTGTTTCTAAACTTGTATACTTTAAGAAATAAATTTCCATCATGTTTTAGCTTCTACTTTTTATTTTTTCATGACACAGCCAAATCTAACCCGAATATGAGGCATCAATTATTTTTACCCTGTTGGCTCTCCAATGCAGATGAAATAAAGAAAGGAATGAAAACTGACCAAATGTTTACGTGTTGTGCAAATATTATCTGTCAAGGAAAGGCATTTTACATATATTTTCTTATCTAATCTTCATAATAAACATGAAAATAATTATTTCCCCATTTAGTAGATGAATAAACTGAGGCTTTGAGAGATTAAATAATAAATCCAAGACCCAAATAACTGGTAAAAGAGAGAGAGAGATTGTAAATGCACTTGTTTGGAGCCAATAATCCAGTCTTTTCATGATACCATAATGATCTTCAAAGCATTGACTCGGTGCCTACTAAGTGCAAAAGCACTGTACAAGACTATCTTGAACATAGAGGTATATACAGTGCATTCCCTAAAGGAACTTAAAAATTAAGTGAGAGATGTTCTTAAAAGTGAGAGCATATGGTGTTCAATAAGTTAAATAAATGAACAAAAATAAAGACGCCACATCAGAGGATATGACTGACAAACTGTACTGATTATACCTGTTATGTAAGCTAAGAGGCAGTGATGACTTTAATGTGGAATGCTCTTATTTTTCCTTCTTCGCCTCCCACTAAATGACCTCTAACTATGTTCTCACTACATGCCAGATACTCTGTTTAGCACTGATGTCATGAAGGCAAGCAGCACACACCACCACTCTGAAGAAATTCAATATACTATAAAGAATATCCTCTAAAAAATGGAATTGATTCCAAATGACACAATGAAGTACAGATAATCTGAACATCAATTTGATGATCATGGAAAAATCTGAAAGCAATATTAAGAACTGCCTTCTTAAATCAGACACATTCCCAGTGGACTTACTGAAATTTTCTTCCACGTTTTTCAGATATAGATAATCTTCAGGTTAAGAATATCTCATTATTCTCAGAAAAATAAGCTTGGAAAGATATGCCAAAAGAGGCAGGATCATCCAAAAAGGAGTCTACTATTTCCGATACGCAGTCCTTCTTGGAACTTTATGGTAAGAAGCAGCAGTAATGAGATCAAAGTACAATTATGCTTAGGGTGATGGTTTTTGAAAGCCCATCCCAGCCACCTCTTCTCTGATTTTGGATTTTCAGAACTTAGCTAATATCAAGATATTAGGTACATTTCATACAATTATTTAAGAATATAAGGTTAAACAGAGGCAGATTGGACCAGATTTGGGGAACCTGGATGCCAAGCAAAAAAACAGGACTTTAACTTACCATGTAACTAGAAAAAAACTCAAGTCATAAGTGAGACCATGATGGGCAATATGATCAAATATTTTAGGATGATTCACGGGCTTCAGTACTTAGGAATGGATTGGAGTCTGGGAAGGGTGAGTGTAAGTTCAGCAGTTGAAGACTAAGGAGACTGTTTCAGTAGTTGGTGTATATAGTGCTATTATGTACGTACACACACACACACACACACACACAATATGTATATAGAGCTAATGGGGGCAGGAGGAAGGTTAACATGCTGCTGAGCTAAGACTAGACATCATTAGTCATAGTATGGTCCTCAAACACAACAGAAAACTATGCATGACTTGTAAACATTTCACTAGACTAGGCAAAAAGTAGAAAGATTTACAAAAGAACTGAAAACGTCTTTGTACTGACTTCCTGGTGCCTGGGCGTTGAGGGCCCACTGGAGAGTACCACGTTATTCTTAGACAGGTAAAGTGTCTCAGTACTGTACTGAGGGCATGGTCACCTCAGCTCTCAAGTCTTTTTACTCTCTCTAAATTAATCGCGGAACATCCTGTTCTTACAAAATCAAACAAGTATGAGGACTGCCATGGAAACCAGAAAATTAGCAGGGAGGCTGGGAGCCAAGATTTCCTGTACGTACCAATCGGTAGAGCTCAGTAATGCTGATGTCTTCCGGATCCACCATTGCATACTCTTTCCTAGGCACCAGGTCCAGTCCCAGTTGTCTAGAAAACAAATTGCAAACGTTTGGGGGAAAAGTTATCTCCATGAAATACGTTAAAAAACAATTGTTTTTTTACTACATCACTTGGAAATTAGGTATATCACCCACTATGCTTCTCTCACCCATAGTTTTTACCTTGTGTGACTTGTTACCACAGTTGGGGTAGACAACATAACTTGGCTGGACACTGGGCAAAACTTGAAACACAGAAGGTGAGAAAGACAAGCAAATCCAGGAGGGATGGGTTGGCACTCTCAGTGGAGTGCTTCTGTCACTGGGGGCCTCAGCACCATATGGTGTGACGCCTTCAGCACCCTTCAAATTATCACAAGAGAAGGCCTTCCACACTGGAGTGAATGGAAACTAGAGCTAGACATCATGTGGTTCTAGAAATTGGAGTTGAGGGGAGGGAAATTTGGCCTTTAGAATTTTACCTAGCACCAGTATACCTAGCTGTGCCCAGAGGCAACACATTTCTTATATGATCTCTGGCAACTTGTGCATGGTCCTTATTTACAGCAAATTCTGAGGTCAGTCATTAGGAAAAACTCAGTAAAGGCAGGAAATGGAAATGAGGAATGAGTTTGGGGCCTGGGCTGGCAGAAGAGTTTAACCCTTTATGTCAGATTTCACTGTGGCTGACATGTGGCTTGCTGTGCTGAGAAGTATTCTAAGGTTATATCCAGCCTCAGAGTACCAAGTGTGGCAATTGACTTGTGATGTCTTCCCATGAACAGAGGAACATGAGTCTAATTCTATTCTGGTTAGCTTCCCTTTAGCGACCTTCCTAGCATAATCCCCTCCAGGGCACCCACATTACAATGCTGACACCAATGCCACACAGTTCTGTTCATCTCCTTAACCCTCCATAATCATCTCAAAGGCTACACAATGCCTGTGTAATGCCCTATTGATCAAGGCCAAGATACCCTCTTCTCTAGCAGAACCCCTCAACCGCCACATCCAAGACCGCATGCTCAGTTCTCTGAGGATCACTTGTTCTGAATCCCTTTCACATCACCACTCTTTCTAACACGGAAGCCTTCTGGCATCACATTTCCAATTATAGAACCACAGCTTGCTTACTTTTGTATTTAAAAAAACCTAAAATTCTTCCATGCCCTCCCCAAAAATCTCATTAAGGTTTCATAAGTAAAATTTATGAATTCAGCACCTACTTCAAGCCAGGCACTGTCCCAGCTACCCTGAGGGCTATTTGTTCTTAAGAAGATTAGAAAGCTGTCACCTCCTTGACAGTAGGAGCTGTCTTTCAGATACTAAAACAGTTTCTCAATTTTCCTAAATGATGGTTCTCTTTGGGAAACCTAGAGAAAAATTCACACACCCATTATTTAATGTTAGTTGAATTTTTAACTCACAACAAGCACTGTGATTTGTTTTCAAAATGTCCATGTTCCCCCTTGCTACATCTCACCAGGGATTCTGATAGGGTCTATTCTCCATTCTCCATTCCCTTCTGAAAGAGAACCACTGTACTACAGTGTAAGTTATCATCTGACACTGGGTCAATATTACTGATGAAGATCATTTAGCAAAGGAAAGACGGCATATAACCATGTGTGATACCTGTCTTACTCATAGCTCCTTCTATCAGAAGCTGCTCCATCCATATTCTCTGCTGGGAGTGGTGGTGGCAGACAAGGTAGTCATTTGACCATCTCCCCTTCCTGAGCCGCACCTGATTGGACTATGGGTAAGCACCTGACCTAAGGACAAATAACCCAAAGACTGGCCAGCAGCTTATGAGAGGCTGGTATAAAATGCTCAGCCCAAACAGCAGTATTAGACATTGGCTATCAATAAGATTCCCTCTTTGAGAATTTGAACTTGGAAATTCAGACATCAGTCACACGCAGGAGGAAGATAAGATACGTGAAGACAGGTGACCTACATGGCTGCAGAATGAGTGCAAAAATTCTGCAGCCTCAGAAACCTGTAATCTACAAGTCTTTTTCTCCCATAGTCTTGATTGATTGGCTTCTGTTGGCTTCCTGGCATCCTGGTTATGAAGAATCTTATTTGTTTCTATTTGGTTTTGTTAATTCCTAGGTATATCTTCCCATGGTTTGAGGTTTCCTATTCTACAGAGTAAAATCAAAGAAGTGCTTTACAAAGAATAAGGAGAAATGAGGCAAGCAGGGGAGAGAGAGGATGAGAGGAGATCACACAGAGAGAGCATCATGTTTTATATCAACTCAGTCACTAAACTACTCTGTGACATCAAGAAGAAAGGATTAACTGATTGCCTCCTCTCACATAATCTTAGCAGAAAAGTCAAAGAACATCATGTTGTAGGACTCTACGGGCAACAGAAACATGTACCATTATTTTAGTGCTGTCTGAGGTTCCCAGGCAAGACCAGTTCTTTTGCTGGCCCTGTTCGGAAATGAGATTAATGATCTCTTCTTCCTAAGCTTCCCACATCAAGAGGGCTTCTCTTCACTACTCTTCAACAGTTTGATATACAACGTGAGATGGAACATATTCTTAATTGATGTTCATCCAGAGATTTATGTGCTGGTAGCTTATTTTGCAGGACAATTTCATCTAGTTTAATAGGCAAGAGATTATCTTAATTTGCTTTCCATGAGCACTATTCAATAAGAAAACAAATGTATACTTAAAGAAATAAGGTAAATTCATAATCTCTGTACTGTAAGTTATTTTAAAATAAACAGCCAAAGAATTTCAAAGAAAACAGAATCACAGCTCAGAAAATTCATGAAGTTGAAGATGATCTAAATAAATTATACTGCTCATTTTCATGCATCAATGTTTTACCGTCTTATCATAAATTAGCCACAGAACTGCCCAAAGTACAAGCCAGAACTTACGTAAGTCAAAAACTGAGTCATGATTCAGTCATAATTAATGTTTTTCCTTCCTTCCCCTTTTCATTCTGCCATCATTTTCTTTCATAAAACTGAAGAAGTATCATTTTCTTGCCTGATCTACATTCCTATGTTATTTTGGATAAGCTAATTTCCTCCAACTTTCTTCCTATTTACAAACTAGTCCTTGAAATGAGGACCAGCATAATGACTAAGACCCAAAATAATTCAGAGAATCCTCAAAGGTTTTTCAAAACAATAAAAAAATAAACATTAGGCAGCACAGGTCTCGCTCCAACGGACCCCTCCCACTCCCATTCCACCTCACATCACAATCATGGAGATTCGAGATAATCTCCTGTGAAATTCATTCCCATGGCAGGATGGGAAGTTCCCTGTAAATGGCTGGGAAGTCTAATCTGTTAGGAGGTGCTGTGTGTTTTAAATGTCATCCTGGAGCTGAAAGGGGCCTTGCGCCTTTTCTAGTTCAACTTCCTCCTTCAACAGATGAGGAACTGACATGAAGAGGGTTAAGGAGTTTGCTTCAGGTCCTAGGAAAGCAGAGCTTCCAGTCCTGTGCTCTTGTTGCCTCTCCACATTTGTACCTGTTTCATTTCTCACAGGAATGAATCTTCTAGAGATAAATGAATTGGGCTTTTCTATTCATTGTCTGTAAAAAGATGAACGGCACATCCTATTCAACAAAATACCAGAAGTCCTCTGAGTGAGATGGAGGTTTAAAAATCTGTTAGTAGGTCTGGGTATTCATATTCAGAGTGTGCAACATCTTGGGAAGAATCAAACCTGGCTTCTGACTAAGTGATTTCCTATGGTAATGGGAAGTGGCATTCTGCTTCAAATTGGTTTTTCCACATTCAGTAAGAGGCAAATTTACCCGTGGTTCACTTCCCCTCATTTTCTTCATTTCTGTCTGCTTTCCTTTTTTTTCTGTTGCCCTAAGATCCTTTGAAATAGCAAATGGGGATTTGGAGAGAGGAAAAGAAGGGAGGATATGGCCATGTGGGTTATTAAGGAACCATGTCACCGCTTTAAACCTAAACCTCATGCAACCCTAGGATCTCAGTCAAAGGTGGCTTATTCTGATTTCTCACTTCTATGTTAATATTCGCATTTGGTACAATATCAGCCTTGGTCAGAGCTTTCAGTGATTAGATTTACCATTTCAGTACATGGCTGGTATTTTAAATTAGTCACGGTTTTGTTTAAAAATAAATCTTGGTCAAGAACAGCTTTTTGCTGAGTTCCCTCAAGCAGCTCCTCAAAGTAGCTAATATGTACGTAATACAAAGGACTAATCACAGCAACAATAAAAGGCCCCACCAGTGCACTTGTCATAAGACCTTTCACAGAAGCTGTTAATATTAGTGTCTCCCTCCAGATTACATTGGTGATCTATTACCATGATATGGAAGAGATATATTTTAAAAGCAAATCCACATGCCAAACCTAAAGCCTATTTGAGAATGGGATCCATTTTAGCCAGAAGCCACATCTAATTCATTGCTGTGAACATTTCATTTTCCATGAGCATGTCCACACCATCAGGCCACATATGATACTAGACAACAAACGACATTTCATTGCCCACACCAGCTTGAGAAGAAATGGTTCTTGGCTCTACCAATGACAGTTCGCACTAAGCCTCCAAAAACAAGAAACATGAAAAAGTCCATAGGATTGCTTCCAGTGACATTACCACATTCTGGCTCAGGCCTATGTCACTTCCATTGTGTTCACCTACTAGAGGCCGCCCTGTGATGCTCAATACTCACTCATTGCCCCAGTCAAGGCGGGCAGTAATGTGGCGCTTCACGTCCTTCATCCGGTCGTGGGTGAGGTGGCCCACCAGCACCTGCCGCCGCAGGTCCAGGATTTCATTCATGATGTGCCACAGCCGGTGGAAGAGATCACCTTCATTTCGCTAAGAAATACAAACACGTGGAGGTTTGGCAGTCAGTCTCCATACTGAGTTGTGGGGTAACCAAAAAGGAAAGGGAAGGGGCCCCTTCCACTATGTGCTTGCCACTCTGGACAGATGTCTGTTAATAGACAAACTGTTCGCTCACTGTCCGCAAACACACTCGTTGCATTCTCTATATGCTTCATCTAAGTTTCACAACACTGCTCTCATGTCCAGAAATGCAACTTTACTTCTCAAGAGCTCCTTTTATTTATTTTTTAAACACTACTCAAATGCTACTATCCCAGAAGGTTTGGCTTGCCTTCCACCTCCATCAGGAAATCTTCCCTGATCACTTTTGCTCACATTCTTTTCTCCCTTCTCTGAGCCATGGCTGCATGCAACTAAAGCTGATGAAATGGAAGACATTGTTTTCCAATTATATTTCTTGCATATTGGTTTCAATACTTTATTGGATCCCCTTTCAGAAGCTGGGCACACAAATTCATTCATTGATGGACACGCAGTGCTATTATTGGGCCAGTATTTAGACTTTTAAAAAGGTAGTGTTTTCTTTCTTACTTTTAAAACAATCGTGGAGAATCAAGATAATCGCCTGTGAAATTCATTTAAGCTCTGTGGTTTACTGGAAAGCAGACAAGTTAAAATCCTGGTTTTGTCACTTACTAGTGTTATAGACTTTAAGTATCAATTCTGTCATCTGTACATGGGCAGCACATTCTTTCTGCAAGGCTGTTTTATGGATTAGTGGTGGCAACTGTGCAGAGAGCACTACAGCACAGTGGCAGAGAACATCAACTTACTTAGAGCCAAACAACTGCAATCTGAATTTCAGTTTTGCCATTTACTGGCTGAAAAAGCTTTGACAATTCATTAACATCTTTGTGCTTGTTTTTTCATCTGTAAAACAGGTATTATAGTACCTACTTCCCAGGGTTGTTGTGAGGATTAATGAGTTATTAAAACTCTGAGAACGATGCCTGACCTAGAAAAAATATGTAAGTATTAGCTGTTACTAGTACTAGAGTACTGTTATTGTTTTGGGCTTGGTCCAGAATCTTTCCCAAAACCAAAATATATATCCGTTACCCCAGAGACAACAGAGTAAATCCTTTTTTTTTTTTTTTGAAACGAAGTCTAGCTCTTGTCCCCCAGGCTGGAGTGCAGTGGCGTGATCTTGGCTCACTGCAACCTCTGCCTCCCAGATTCAAGCGACTCTCCTGCCTCAGCCTCCTGAGTAGCTGGGATTACAGGCACACGCAACCATGCCTGGCTAATGTTTGTATTTTCAGTAGACACGGGATTTCACCATGTTTGGCCAGGCTGGACAAACTCCTGACCTCGTGATCTGCCTGTCTTGGCCTCCCAAAGTGCTGGGATGACAGGCATGAGCCACCGTGCCCGGCCAGAGTAAATCTTATCTAACTATTTACCCTTTGTCTTTCTTAACCAGTAGCTATGCTTTTACTTTCTTCAAAGATTATGACTGGACTTCATGAGCAGTGATATGAAAGTACTGAGGTTATCATCCATCTAAAGTCTTCTACAGCTGTAAACTGCCAGAAATATCAAATTATTCTGGGTGATGGGTAAAGACATTCAGTCATCACATATTTTTTATTTTAAAAAGTAGTGACGTGTTATTTGCTTTTTCAGTACTTGGTGTCTTGAAGAATGTTCATGTGATGTGCAGGTCAGACGAATTAGCCAGAGGAACAAAAAGCATTCTCCAGGATGCCATCCCTGATCCTGCTCAATACAAATCATCTTGTTTCTCTCTGAACTCTGAAAGCACTCTATTGAGCCCATTCTTCTATTGCTTCTCACTCTTAACTCACGTTATACACTCCCATACAAGCCATTACAAGGCCACTGTAACACAATACTCTTGTAATTAACTGCTCAGTGTCCATGTCCTCCCTGTGGCTGTAAGTGCTCAATCACAATGGCCTTCTGCCTGTGTATCCCTAGCAGCTGGAGAATGCATGAATGAAGAGCTTGATTTAAACATGTTAATTTTTGTGGATCTCAAGAGGTAGGTTGTCTATAGGCGATACAAAATAACAAGCAGTGAAGATCAAGAAACACTTGAGGAAGTCAATGTAGGAAGGAAAAGTCCACCTAAGTCAATAAAATTATATAAGCAAGTTATTAAACAAGTCAAATCTCATATAGCAAAGAAGAAAGACAGCACCTTTCTGAACTGACTGTCACAGGGAGAAAGTCACCTGCCTTCTCTTGGGAAAGGCATCCTGTAGTTGTTTGGTAGGATGGACTTGATTTTCTGTGATGTCATCTCTAGTATTAAGTTTAAAAGAACACTAAGATGAAAAGGTTGCAGGATCCCTTATAAAGCTGAAAATCAGTTGGTCAGTTCTCCATTGAGGGAAGAAAATCCAGGTGTGGCAGGAACGCTGACATACCACAGGCCTGGCCAGCAAACCTGCCCTACTAGTATAAGAAAAAGGTCTACAACTGAACATCTAGTCATAAAATCATGATTCTTTAAACATTGGATAATTATGAAGGCTATTCAGATATATGAAAAATGCTTTTGATTTAGTGCTAAATGAAAACAGGTAAGGCACAATATTAAACACTTAGAATAAAATAATACCAAGAGATTCTGGAAATATATAAAAAATATAGCAAAAAGTTAATTGAGAGTATTTTAGTGTTTTAGAAAGGGATGAGCTTTTATTTGCCTTAAAATGAAAACAGTACAGGTTTTGGCAGCAACAGACTTAGATTTAGATTGAGGCTTCAGCATGAGACCCTAGGTAAATTATCATTGATAAGATTCAAGAATAAAAAGTGCCTGGCAGAGCCCCAGGAAAGAGAGATGTAAAATGTCCAGCTCAGGGCCTGCACAAAAGTACTCAGTAAAAGATGGCTGCTATATTTCTCCTCAATGGTTACATTACTGATTATTAAGTGGTATTTATAAAGACCATTATTTAAGTCCTTAGCAATGTTATTTAAAGAGCAACTAGCATGTTTCAAGCATTCATCATGTGCTTTTATGCTGAGCATTGTCATATAAATTGCTAACAATTTATAAAATATTATGGCCCTCATCAAACATCTTCCAGTAGAGAAGCTAGGTGCCTTAAAACTGTTGGAAAAGAGGATGGACAATAACCTAAACACACTTGAGCATGAGGAACTTGAACCAAAACATTTGTGACAAAACATTTACGTTAGGAAAAGAGAAACCAAAGGTCTGACATGGCCAAGGTAGCTTCACTCCCAGTGTCAAAAATCTAATACCTCTGAGTTAAACTTAACATTTGTTTCTAATGTAACTACCATTCCAGTGTCCAGGGAACATTTAGGTAAGTATCTCTTTCCCAATTACTAATGGCTACCATTCCCGTGTCCAGGGAAACATTTAGGTAAGTATCTCTTTCCCAATTACTCAGAACACTAGGAGGAGAAGAGGTTACCTGTAGAGTTTACAACATATAGATTTTCAAACCAACAAAGTCTGTCCCCAGAATAGATATTTGGAACCTCGAACACAGGTGAAAATAGCTAGATAAGGCAGAATCCAGAGGAAATTCAACTTTGGTCCCCACTAGTAGCTACATAAAAGGAAAAGTGCTTGTGTTCTAGTTCAGCTATTGACAACACTCACACTGTCATTATTTTTATAACTCTTAAGTCAGGTATTTAGAATGCAGTGGTTTGAGTATTTCAAATAGTTTCTTTTTCCATGTTAGTGCCAAGCACAATGTTACTTTAAGTGAAATAATATCAGATGTTGAATTCTTTCCAACATTAAAAAAAAAAGAAAATTTAAAAAGGAGATCTGCATTTCTTTGCACTTCCCTAGCACAGAGCCCTCGAGGTTGGTTATCTTGACTTTGTATTTACAAAACCTATGCTCTGCCAATTCATCTAAGGTTGTCTTGTGGATTTTCACAGTGAGTCTTGAAGCTACCAGCTCCAGGAGGGTTTAATCAGAGAAGTCCAGCATCAAAGGGTTTTCGCTAGTGACTTTGTAAGATTTTCTTGCCTCGATGAAACACCCTATTGCATTTTAGATGTAACAGACAATAAACACTATCATTCTGCCAGTGTCCCTCACTAATTTGGATTTTTTCTTTGACAGGCTGTTTTAAATCATTTTGTCAGGATAAGTACACGTTTGTATTTTGAATTCATCCCTTCAAATGATTAAACTATTCTACAAATTTCTTTAAAAATAAAAGAAGAAATAGCATGGGGTTTTCCCCAATATTTCACCACACCCAGACTTCCGCAGTTACAGTGGGGTTCAGAGTGAGAGCACCATATTCACACCAGAACCCCAGCTCAGCCACTTTCCCATTACCTGATCTAGGGTGACTACTTTACTTCACTCTCTGTGCCTCATTCTTCTCATCTATAAGCTGGATGTGATTATCATTATTATTTCTTTGAGTGGTAATAAGGATTAAAGAAGATACTGCATCAAAGAGTACTTACCATGGGATTTGCCATATAAGTTCCCAATGTGATTACTTATAATAAGTAAATAAATATATACTACGTATCTCCAAAACACAGATCCTTTTTCCCCTCAAGAAACATTGTTTTCTCTAGTATATTTAGAATATTCTCATTGATACTAGCTAAGAAGTCTGTCATTTACAGTATACTTGAATTACTTATAGAATTTGAATTTGATAAAATACCACTGCCATCAAAACTGTCTTGAATTTTATTTTTCCCTGAAAATTAAAAATATTCAGGAGGTTCAACAATAGTCCATGTAAACCATCCTATTTGGTTAGATGCCAGAAAAATAATCTTTTATATTCCTGTGGTATTGAAAAATAACTTACAAAACCCATGCTCAGTGGACACAGAGACTACAACAAGACTGTCTTGTTAATATCTATATCCCCAAGGAGTCCTAGAGACTTGCAGAAGGTGCTATATTAGTTAATGCTTACTCATGTTCATGTATTTCTTAAAACAATTCTTTATCTGAAAAATCGTGACATTAAAAAGCTACTTAACCACATAGAGTTGTTTCCACATGGTTCCCCAGTCTCTTAATGTTGATGTCATTTCTGTGATTACAGAGTCTTCAGTGGGAATAACCATTTCAAATTGTCTGTGAAATTAAAAAAGAAAAAGTATATATGTAAATACCATAGACAACAATTTTGTTTTAAATACTCTAAAAGATAACTAGGAAAGAAAGTTGCCTAGCTATTGTTCATTCTGCAGACAGTAACCAGGATCTGGTTGTAAGTTAATGTGAGGAATGCTACATGGGTTACGGGAGGACAATACCAGAACGACCAGCCACTTCAACAGACCAAGAACTTCAACAGACGAAGTTCGAGCAGCGTGGTGAAGAAGGAACAACATCAGAAGAGTTCCACTCCAGTACCAGCTCACGGCTAGGCAGTAACTCATTTAACCTGAGGCCAAAAGCCTTCATCTATAACATGAGGTCACTGGGCTACATAAACTCTGAGGTGACTTTTGCCTTCCAAGGGCTATGACTACAGGACTGAAAGAGAGTAAAAGGAACACCATTTAATCATCAGGACATGATTGATGGCTGTGGGCATCCAAACTGACTTGGTGTTGTAAGTAACTAGACAGTAAGATACTAATTGAACACTCCCTTGATCTCAGTAACACCTCATTTTTATTATTTGCAAACTAGGACCATGAAAAATGATTAGTACTCTAAGTAATGTTATCATACAGCATAGAACCTAAGGGCTTATGACATCACCGATATTTGAATATTTGTTCCAAAACGTTCCTCTTTCTGATTACAGTAACATAGTCTTCTCATTTCTTCTCTAAAAGTCAGAAACTATCCTTGGAAAAAATTTATATCAATATCTAGTAGGGTGTGTATGGTGGTCCTGAAGTTGAGAATATGCATGAGGAGATGGGGGAAATAAAAGAGAAGATTCTTTTTTTTTTTTTTTTTGAGACGGAGTCTCGCTCTGTCACCCAGGCTGGAGTGCAGTGGTGCAATCTCAGCTCACTGCAAGCTCCGCCTCCCAGGTTCATGCCATTCTCCTGCCTTGGCCTCTCGAGTAGCTGGGACTACAGGCACCTGCAACCATGCCTGGCTAACTTTTTGTATTTTTAGTAGAGATGGGGTTTCACCGTGTTAGCCAGGATGGTCTCGATATCCTGACCTTGTGATCCACCCGCCTCAGCCTCCCCAAAGTGCTGGGATTACCAGCGTGAGCCACCACGCCGGCTGAGAAGATTTAATTTGTCCTCTGTATCCTACCTTTGGCATATAATAATCTTCATCTCCAGTTTCCTTTTTCAGATTCTTTCTGTGTGTGTGTGTGTGTGTGTGCAGGTGAAAGTGGTTAAGTGGCTATTGCTACCACTGCTTCCCAAAAAATGCAACTGATATATTGATTGAGACTATTTTCTTTATTTCAGTATATTTTTTTCAAGAAAACGTCTAATAGATAGAAAGTAATGACATATTAGACACAGAACCATGTTGTCTAATGATCAAGGGGAAATTACTTCTTAGCATGAGGCTAATAACTGTTCTGTGATTCCTTTTTCATGTTATGTCCAAAGTGTGTATAATTGTCTTTTGTAAAATCTTCTTGTCAGACATATGGAAACTAAAATCTTGCCTTGATTCTTTTCCCAACAGAGTTTCATCTCCTCATTTCACAGTGCTGCTAAAATACTTGCCCTATGAATATTTTCCTTCTTTCTAGAGCTTAAACACAGCTGAAAATGTAAAACTGGGATTTTAAACTAGAAATAAAAGTAAACAGTAATATATAAACTGTGACAGATACAGAACCTTTTATTAAGCCTGCATATGACATTTTTAAATGGTAGTACATTTATTTTGCTTTTGAAGCAGCTGTTGCAATTTAAATGATGAATATTTGGAGATGGAGATTATAAAATGATCCTATACAAGGTCAAGGAGGAAACACTGAATTTCCAGGAAAACTTGACATCCTACTTAACATTCAAAAAGTGACATGACCTCAGTAGGAATTAAACAATACAGAAGTGGCCTCCCAGTCCATAAACTATAATTTAATGGACCTCCATCAGTCCTACATTGAGCTGAAGACACAAGAAAGAACATACACACAATTCAGTCTGTGAGAAGTTGATTGGGGGTTGTCCAAGCAAAATTTAATTTTTTAAGCATAAAATTGCCATTTTAGGCAAGGTGACTGTTTTCTATTAATTACTCCAAAACCAAAATCAGTGTTCAAATAGTCTGTCATAAGTAGTTACCTCTGAAATTATATTTTGTTCAGTTATTCTGGGATGGACTTTTCCATTATTTCACCCTAGTGGGCCGTAAATCTACTTAAAATAAGACAGGTAATACCAAAACCCCAAAGATGTTCCTCTCTGGGAAAGCAATCATCTGGCAATACATGCCCTCAGATGTTTTCAGGCCATAGTTTTTCTTCCAGTAACAGCCCAAGACCTAGGGTCTAAGTCAATTCCAATAATTCTTTTTTAGAAACTAATGTTGGGCTTTTCTGCTCTTCTGCTGCACAATGTCCATCATACCTGGTGTCAGGTGGAGACCCCATAAGAAAATCTTAAACTTACACAACCCAATTTTTAGGTACCTTCACCCACATTTAAACTTCCTGGGGCTCATGGAAGGGGATCAGATATACACCAGTTACTGACCAGGATTTTAAAAAAGGAGGTACTTATTTAAAAATCATATCCTACCCCAACTCACTTTGAGGGATAGACTTTAAGTGGAGAGATGCTTGACATCATCTTTGCTAGCATAGCATTCTCTCTTTTCTCTTCCTTGGTCAGAGCATATGATGCCCTTGGCACTGCAGAGTTGAGGGAGGTCAGGGTTGGGCTTGAGGTAAAGGCAGCAAAGAGGATTGGTTGCACAGGCTTGTTCAAATGGACACTTTAAGAAACAGGGGTAGCCCATGGCGTTTTCACTTTGCCACGCCCAGATCACTAGCACAGAAGGATAGAACAAAGAGTAAGCATATAGCTGGAGTGTATTCTGAAGTATCCTCTGGTTTACTGGAGGAGGGCTGAACGCTGTCACATCTAGCCTGGTAGGAAAGTTTCAAAAGGACCAACAACTCGGCTTGATGCTTCTGGTGCATTATAGCTGCACACTTCTGAAGGACACACATTTCTTAAAAGATCAGTAGTAGTAGTGGTAACTATTAGAATTAGAATTATGCTTTTAATCTATTATTCTATCTATTTAATCTATTATTCTATAATAGATTATTGAATAATAGATTATTGAATAATAGATTATTGAATAATAATTAATTATTATTCAATAATAGATACTGACTACTACTATTAACATGCTTAAAGCAGCTCACACACATAAGACATGTAGAGTAATGGTCTCTGAGATTCTTTAAGTTTTACCCATGTAGGGAACTCTCAAAGTATTTATACCATAGACTCGTAGCCACTGCAGAGGCTATTTCACTGAACTGAAATTTAATACCATACTTTTACTTGGGGGGAAATTAAGAATCACCTATTTGAATAGCCTCTTTGGAATTTTTGTCATGAGACTCGAGTTGGAAAATACCATTACTATGCTTTAAGAATTCAAATAACAAATTGCTATTTATCACTATTTGAGAAAAAATATAATTTCTATGGCTGAATCTGTATTCTGTTGGCATAAGATGAAAGTTATGCAATGATCATGTGAACAGCCCTTGTGACACTGACACCAAATGTTTGTGTCTAAATCCATGGCCCCTTATAATGAATGATCTGCTCATGCTAACTATTTAAACAGGCAAGCTCTTCTGTTTTACTCTGCTATATCTTATAGGAATTATGTTAAAGTGACTGCCACTTCACATTCTTTTAGAAATAGACTAGAAATTTTTTTAATGTATTAGAAATACTAGGTGATCAATGAGCTCAATCAAAGCATCATATAAATGACATTCTCTAAAACAGAATAATGGCTTTGTGAAGTGGTCACACAAGAATATGTTATTATGCCCATTTAGAGAAAGACACACTATGCATCTTATAATCAGTGGTGAACCTAGGAAATTCCTGGGGTTTGAGATAATATGACAGCATTTAATGGGTCTGACTGACATGCTTCCCTAAGTAGCAAGAAACCAAAAAGAACCAACTCCTGCTCAAGCGTAGGCTGATTCCCTGATTTGTGGACACTGAGAGACCTCCAGTCCCTCAGATCCTGTTGTCCAGCATGCACAGATGGGGTTCTTTAATTTTCTCCACCAACGGTCTTAATGCAATATATCTTTAACAAAGAACACAGACAATGGTATGATCTTCTACAGTTCATTTTTCAAGACAATTACTATGCCTTTCGAATTCCAAAAGAAGCAAAGGTTCTGTGAAAATCCTCCAACTACTAATAAAACTCATTCTTACCCTTTGTTCTTCACACAGGCATTTTTCAAGTGAACGTAGCTGGAAGGAAATATACCCTGAAAAAGAAAACATGAAGGTTAC